ACCAGCATGGCTTCAGGAAAGGGAAATCCTGCATCACAAACCTATTGGAGTTCTATAACAAGGTAACAGAAGTAAGACAGGAGAGAGAGGGATAGGTAGACTGCATCTTCTTGGGCTGTAAGAAGGCTTTTAACACAGTACCACATAAGAGACTGATTAAAAAGCTAGATGAGCAGGCAGGAATAGGAGGGAAAATACAGCAATGGATCAGGGAATACATGACAGGAAGGAAACAAACTTGTGTCAGTACGAGACGAGGTGCCAGAGTGGGTGCATGTGTCGAGCGGGGCTCCACAAGGGTCAGTCCTAGGTCCGGTGCAGTTTCTTGTATATGTAAATGACATGACGGAAGGGATAGAGTCAGAGATATGTGAAACTAATAAGGAAACTAATGAGGAAAATACAAGCGGATGAGGATAAAGTAAGCCTACAAGGGGATTTGGAGAGGTAAGTCTGGTCCTACAAATGGCTCCTGAAGTTTAACCCCATGTGCAAAGTTATGAAGTTTGGGGAAGGACAAAGGAGACCGCAGACGGAGTACAGCCTAAGAGGTCAGAGGCTGCAAAACTCACTGAAGGAAAAGGTTCCTGGGTGAGCATCATACCAAGCACACCTCCTGAGGCACACATCAACCGAATAACTACTGCAGCATACGGGCGCCTGGCAAACCTGAGAATAGTATGGAACCCACACCTGGTCAAACACGTCAAGAAATCAGAAAAAGTGCAAAGGTTTGCAACAAGACTAGTACCGGAGTTAAGGGGTTTGTCCTACGAGGAGAGGTTAAGGGAACTAAATCTGACAACACTGGAGGACAGGAGGGATAAGGTCGACATGATAACATATAAAATACTGAGAGGAATTGACAAGGTGGATAGGGACAGAATGTTCCAGAGATGTAACACAGCAACAAGGGGTCACAATAGAAAGTGGAAAACTCAGATGAGTTACAGGGATGTTGGAAGTATTTCTTCAGTTATAGAGTTGTCAGGAAATGAAACAATCTGGAGTGATGTAGTGGAGGCAGGATCCATACTTAGCTTAAGAAGAGGTATGATAAAACTCACGGAAAAAGGAGAGAGTGGACCTAGTAGCGACCAGTGAACAGGCTGGGCCAGGAGCTATGATTCGACTCCTGCAACCACAATTAGGTGAGAACACACACACACACCATAAATAGGTGAACACGCACGCACACACACACACACACACACACATGCATACACACACATACACACACAAAGTGCAAAGGTTTGCAACAAGACTAGTCCCAGAGCTAAGAGGTATGTCCTACGAGGAGAGGTTAAGGGAAATCAACCTGACGACACTGGAGGACAGGAGAGATAGGGGGGACATGATAACGACATACAAAATACTGAGAGGAATTGACAAGGTGGACAAAGATAGGATGTTCCAGAGACTGGACACAGCAACAAGGGGACACAGGTGGAAGTTGAAGACACAGATGAATCACAGGATGTTAGGAAGTATTTCTTCAGCCACAGAGTAGTCAGCAAGTGGAATAGGTTGGGAAGTGATGTAGTGGAGGCAGGATCCATACATAGCTTTAAGCAGAGGTATGATAAAGCTCACGGTTCAGGGAGAGTGACCTAGTAGCGATCAGTGAAGAGGCGGGGCCAGGAGCTCGGACTCGACCCCTGCAATCTCAACTAGGTTTTGTACAACTAGGTGAGTACACACACACACACACACACACACACACACCACACACACACACACACACACACACACACACACACACACACACACACACACACACACACACACACACACACACACACACAACACACACACACACATGCACACACACACACACACACACACACACAACACACACACACACACACACACCACACACACACCACACACAACACACACACACACACACACACACACACACACACACACACACACACACACACACACACACACACACACACACACACACACACACACACACACACACACACACACACACACACACACACCTGAGTCTCGACCCCTGCAACCACAATTAGAAGAGGATAGGTGAGTACAATTAGGTGAGTACACACAAAATAAGACACTAGAATTTAGAGGTAGTTTTACCCCCGCAATAGCATTCAGATGGCCAAAAAAATGAATTGTGCGGCCGACACCTGAATAGTGGTGTCTGTGCTGAGGCAGCTGGAGTCTCCGCTACTGGGAGCTCCTCAGTTATCCTAACACCTTGCTGAGTGATATCATGTGCACTCTCATCATACCCAATCTCCCATCATTATCATTATATAATGAACTCATTATAAGCATTGCCGCTTTCCTTACGTAAGCTTTCGTTGTGTAAATTACGGCACTGGACGTTCTGAGCTCCCAAGAAGTTAATGTTAGAAGCAGCCTGACAGCCGAAGGTGAATGCAGGCTGCAGGTGACCTGTATCTTATGCAACAGGCAGTGTTGCAGGCTTTGGTGAGTGTTGTGTACCGCTAGTGTTGCGGTGTCAGGCCCATCGCTGAGTACGCAACACCAGTGTGGAACCCACTCCTGAGGAAGCATGTTAAGATTTGTTCCTGAGTTAAGGGGAATGAACTAGGAGATGCTAATAGAATCGGAATTACGGACATTTGAAGATAGAAGAACCAGGGGAGATATGATAACAACATACAAAGTATACAGGACCTGATTAAGAGACTAAGGACGTAATCTCCTCCTGTTGTTGTTTTATGCCTCGGGAAACATGACAAGTATTTCCCGAGGCGACTCTTCCCTCATAGCTCGATTGGTAGCGCACTCAACTCACACACCGAGGTCCGTGATCGATCCCCGATACGGGTGAAAAAATTAGGATGTGTTTCCATAAAACACCTGTTGTCCTTGTTCGCCTAGCAGTAAAATAGGTGCCTGGGTGATCGTGGACTGGTGTGGGTCGCATCCTGGGGACAAATTTGACCTAATTTGCGGGAAATGCTCTGCATAACAAGGGGCTTTCTGTATAGTAGTATGTCACTGAAATCAGCTATGATCTATATACCTTGTACATGTACTTGTAGATGTAAAGATTATTATTATTATTATTATTATTATTATTATTATTATTATTATTATTATTATTATTATTATTATTATTATTATTATTATTATTATTATTATTATTACATAGTGATTCCTGCTCAGTCTCATACAAGAAAAAACAACAGAGGAGAAAAAATCAAGGTGTTAAGAACACCTTGACGCAATGAACAATCTTGACCAACTGAGAATTTATAATCCAGTTTTTTTGAATATTATTTTTTCCTTGATATATAAGAAAAAAAATGTTTAGTCTCATAACAGTGAATGAAAACTTATGCTCAACCTGATCCGCTTTTGACATTTTTTTGTTTCGGGAGGCTTTTTTAAATAACAGTTAACCCCCCCCCCCCCTTTTATTGTACCAGAAAATGTGTTAAAAAAATAAATGAAAATAAGTCGTCGCCTTGTATTATGAGGAGAGGCAGCAGTTCAAGGTCTGTTGCATCCGGCCGTAACCAAAGTCTGCAATATTGCAAGCAGCCAGGACGTCAACAATATTGCAAGCGACCTGACAGAAGTAAGGCAAGACAAACACGGGTGTAGTTTTTTGGTTTACTCGTACGTCCCTTCATCACTGTGTACAACATTCACACGGTTAAATTATCAGAATAACGATAAAACAGAACAGGACTCACGAAATCGCAATGACACGATTGCAAACAAGACATACCACGGGTGGGGTTAGAACCCGCGATCAGAGAGTCTCAAAACTTCAGAGCAGAGAGCAACACAGAGCAGCAGGAGTTGATTGGACCAGTGTAAGAGAGTGTCTCTCTCATAGTCCGACGCTGGTCATGAATTATTACAATTATAACGAAGCACTAAATCCTTAAGGGTCACACGGCGCTGCGCTGGTAGTGAAGACGGTAACACGTCAAACGGTCAGTTTACAGGCCGCGGTTCGCGTCCCCCCTGTCTATCTTTCCGTTTATTCATTGACAGTTGTTTATTACAACTTATTCTGTGTTCGTAGAGGGGTGGGATTAAATTTGGGGGAATCTAAATACAAAATGGGAGTTTAAACATCTACTTTTTTGCTGATGATGCTGTGCTGATGGGAGATTCTAAAGAAAAGTTCCAAATGTTAGTGGAAAAGCATGGCAGGGTGTGTAAAGGTAGAAAGTTTAAAGTGAACATAGATATGAGTAAGGTGATGAGGGTATCAAAAGAAAAATTGGATATGACATTGGAGAGAGGGAGCACGGAAGATATTTGGGAGTAGACTTGTCAGCGGATGTGTTTATGAAGGACGAGGGTAACCATAGAATTGATGAAGAAAAAAAAAGATGAGTTGTGCATTGAGGTATCTGTGGAGACAAAGAACTATCCATGGAAGCAAAGACGAGAATGTATGAAAATATAGTGGTACCAACACTCTTATATGGGTGTGAAACTTGCGTTGTAAATGCTGCAGCGAGGAGGAGGTTGGAGGCAGTGGAGATGTCCTGTCTAAGGGCAATGTGTGGTGTAAATATTATGCAGAGAATTCACAGTGTGGAAATTAGGAGAAGGTGTGGAGTCGCTAAAAGTATTATTCAGAGGGCTGAGGAGGGGCTGTTTATGTGGTTTGGTTATTTAGAGAGAATGGAGGGTGTATAAATATGTAGTGGAGGAGAGGAGGGGTAGGGTTCGTCCTATAAATAGATGGAGGGAGGGGTAAAAGAGGTTTTGTGTGCAAGGGGCTTGGACATGCAGCAGGCATGTGTGAGCGTGTCAGTTAGGATTGAATGGCAAGGAATGGTTATTGGGACTTGACGAGCTGTTGGGGTGTGAGCAGGTTAATATTTTGTGAAGGGGTTCAGAATAGTAATAAGATCAACCTTAAGATCTGCAGAGATAAATCAAAACAAACCCGCCATTACACTCAAGTCTAGCAAGACTGTGATGAAAAGTTACTTTCTTCTTTTCCTTTCAGGAAACTTACCTTCTGCTCACCTCTTTATATGAAATATCAACAATTAGATGCGTAAAAAGTAAGGGTTTAATCATTTTACTGATAAAACATTAATAAAAATAATTAATGAAGCTTGTCTGGCTATCAGTCGAAATTTTACAAATTCATTTTTTTTTTGTTTGTAGTTCGTTTCACATTTTTATGTCTGGATCGATGAGAATAATAAGAAATGCAGCAACATGATCCTCACACCAGCTGTAACAGCTCCTTGGTAGTGACCAGCTGTGGTGGGTGGAAGGTGCTGTCACAGCTCCTTGACAGTGACCAGCTGTGACGGGTGAAAAGTGCTGACACATTTTGATAGTGACCTGTGACGGGTGAAGTCAAGGTGACCATCAACTCTGTGACACTTATGTTGTAATGAAAAGGTGCAATGCATATCACATAGGAGCACACACGTGTTCTGACCTAGGTGAAGTGTCAAAGAATGAACAGTCTGAACACTGTCGTACGTGAAACTACATGGCAATTTATTACATATGTGCATCAGTAGTATGGACGAATTATTAAGTGAAACCATGGTGTGGACAAGACCATACACCAGAGAACCGACACTGCAGCTAGAAGTCAGTGTACCGCCGTAAAGACAACAGAACACCTAAGAAATGCGGGAAGTTGAACCACAAACACTGTGAAATGTGAGAGAAGATTTTGACTTGTGTGCTGCTAAGCAGTTTATGTTTTAAGAAGTGACATGAAGATGCGGTCCATGGAGGAGGGATGAGGTGACAGTCACCATGCACTAACAGTAGTAATAGTGTCACCTTCTTCTGTGTGTCCCCTTCCAAGAGTCCCACTTAAGTGTCCCCCCCCACAAAAAGTTTCACACGAGTGCTCCTTACAAGTGTCTTGCCCAAGTGCCTCCTCCAAGTGTTTCTTCAGAGCTCTGCTCCTTCACGACAACAGCGACATCTCAGTCTCCACCCAAAGTTGTTCTCGACTTCCTCATCAGGACCTTAAGAACACACATTTTAACTCCTTTAAGAAACCAGTAGTGTCAGCAGTGAGGGAGAAAGTCACACTGCAAACACGAGGTAACTCTCTGCTCCATTTTTTCCATTACATGAATATTCTTTTCAGCCGGAATATCCTGAGATATTCTTAACATTCCATATTTCTTGGAAGACAAAACTCAAGGGTTTGTAACATTCTTTTTTAAATAAGTTTTAATTAATATTTTCTGAAAAGCATCAGAACGTTTTCCATGTAACTAATCAGTTATTTTTTTCTGTAAATGCCCACGTTAATGCCAAGAAAAATCATTTACATTGTTATGTTAATGGAAAATTTGCTGCTTTCAGAACTAACCATTAATTCTGTTTCCTTGCTAACTTCCTAACAAACGTAGCTCGTGGAACCCAGCAGCTTATAATTATTGTATAAATTATTGTAATCACCGTATAAATAATTTTAATTACTGTTTAAACTGACTACACTGATGACCCTACTTGCCTGCCTCTCATCATTCTTGATGTCTCTGTCTGTCTCACTGATCATCCCTGATATCCCTGCTTTCATATCCCTGATCACCCTTGATACTTATCCCCGGTCTTCCCTGAAGCCCCCTACCTGAATCTCCCTCATCATTCTTAATGTCCCCAGTTGCCTCTTCTTGGTTGTCCCTAATGTCCCTTGCCTCTCCCTGACGTCTCTGCGTCTCCGTGCGTGAGGCAGCGATGGACGAGAATGAAAAGAAGAGATTGAGGGAGCTCAAGCTGAGGCAAGTGTACCGCTGGTACCCTTGGCTGGAGAAGTACCGTTTCTTCGTCCTCGACTGGCTGCTCCTCTGTATCTTCGTTATAGGTAAGTCATCGTCGTCATAGGCAAGTCATTGTCGTCATGGGTAAGTCCTCCTCTTTATAGGTAAGTCCTATTCAACCAACGTTCTCATCCTCTTGAGAACCTGTCTCCATATAACGTACATATGTTGTTTTGTGGCAACCTTAATGTCTGTCTCGCTAAATGCTCGTCATCTGTTTGTTGTTATTGTGTGAGTATGTAGGTACAAGGAGGGCAGTCACAGGTTTTATCTATCAAATATAATAAGAGGATCAGGATTTCTTCGCTTTACGGTTTCATAATTTGCTCTCTCACATTTTTTTGACCACTAACCCACAAATTGAAAATGAATGAAACGACATTTCAGTCTGTCCTAGACCGAAACGTTGTCTTGTTTGTACCTCCAACTTGTGGATTGGTGATTCGTGCCAGCCTCAGGTTACCAGTATAATGTGTTTGTCAACCTGTTGTTAATTCTGAGAGGCAAGACTTCGGATCACAGGGATGATCTGAGTGTTATCATAGTACTTCGCTTGTCTCTCGCTACGTTATACACAACTTTACATGCGATGCTCGTCAGGGATACTAATCCATTTTTAAAGAATCGCGTCTGGCTTCTTGAATTCTGGAGTTACGACAAGCACTTAGCACAGTGCGGCGCTGCACTCCTGATGTCTCCTCCTGTGTAGTATTGGAGATCAATGCAAAGCGGTTCGTTGCATCTTTCAATATCCATGGTGGTGGCTGCAACACACTCCTTGCACACCCAAGCTTTGCTACAGAGTCTTACATAGACCACGTTTTGTTCCGAATAGAGCTTTATTAAGCCATGAATTAATAAAACTCTATATAGAGCGAGTTAATCCATTTCTGCCATCCATCATCCACGGTGATATCTTGTTAGCGGTCATTGCTCTTAATATATCCAAATGTGTCAAAATATTCATTATTATTATTATTATTATTATTATTATTATTATTATTATTATTATTATTATTATTATTATTATTATTATTATTATTATTATTATTATTATTATTATTATTATTATTATTAGTATTATCATTATTATCATCATCATTATTATTATTTGCATTCAGAGCGAGGGGCACTAAACCCGTAGGTATCACACAATGCCTTTGGTAACGAGATGTAATCATGGCCGATCCAAGGAAGGCTAGATCCAATTCCTTGGATGAAAAGCCCCACACAGGCGGTCAAGAAGCTCCCCTCCAGAGAAGGAATTTTCTCGGGTTCCTTCTTGTACTCCTGATGTTCTCAGTTCTTTGTCTTTGTTTCTTAAGTTAAGATTGGCAACGATTTTTGTTTGTGTAGTTATGGGGGACTGAGCTTATGATTGTGACGTCGCTCCTTCTGTTAGAAATGGATTGTGGCGTCACCCCTTCTGTTAGAAATGGATTGTGGCGTCACCCCTTCTGTTAGAAATGGATTGTGGCGTCACCCCTTCTGTTAGAAATGGATTGTGGCGCCATTCTTGTTAAGAATGGATTGTGGCGTCACCCCTTCTGTTAGAAATGGATTGTGGCGTCACCCCTTCTGTTAGAAATGGATTGTGGCGTCACCCCTTCTGTTAGAAATGGATTGTGGCGTCATTCTTGTTAAGAATGGATTGTGGCGTCACCCCTTCTGTTAGAAATGGATTGTGGCGTCACCCCTTCTGTTAGAAATGGATTGTGGCGTCACCCCTTCTGTTAGAAATGGATTGTGGCGTCACCCCTTCTGTTAGAAATGGATTGTGGCGTCACCCCTTCTGTTAGAAATGGATTGTGGCGTCACCCTTCTGTTAGAAATGGATTGTGGCGTCACCCTTCTGTTAGAAATGGATTGTGGCGTCACCCCTTCTGTTAGAAATGGATTGTGGCGTCACCCCTTCTGTTAGAAATGGATTGTGGCGTCATTCTTGTTAAGAATGGATTGTGGCGTCACCCCTTCTGTTAGAAATGGATTGTGGCGTCATTCTTGTTAAGAATGGATTGTGGCGTCACCCCTTCTGTTAAAAATGGATTGTGGCGTCACCCCTTCTGTTAGAAATGGATTGTGGCGTCATTCTTGTTAAGAATGGATTGTGGCGTCACCCCTTCTGTTAAAAATGGATTGTGGCGTCATTCTTGTTAAGAATGGATTGTGGCGTCACCCCTTCTGTTAAAAATGGATTGTGGCGTCACCCCTTCTGTTAGAAATGGATTGTGGCGTCATTCTTGTTAAGAATGGATTGTGGCGTCACCCCTTCTGTTAAAAATGGATTGTGGCGTCATTCTTGTTAAGAATGGATTGTGGCGTCATTCTTGTTAAGAATGGATTGTGGCGTCACCCCTTCTGTTAAAAATGGATTGTGGCGTCACCCCTTCTGTTAGAAATGGATTGTGGCGTCATTCTTGTTAAGAATGGATTGTGGCGTCACCCCTTCTGTTAAAAATGGATTGTGGCGTCATTCTTGTTAAGAATGGATTGTGGCGTCATTCTTGTTAAGAATGGATTGTGGCGTCACCCCTTTTGTTAGATATGGATCTTTCTTCTGTGGTTATATTCCAGTTATCCTTTTCCAGTCGTCCACTGTTCCTGTTATTTATTAAACAATTTATGAAGAAATAGCTTCCAATATTCCTTCTTGACTAATTCTTGCATAGTTTAAATTTATGACCTCTTGTCCTCATTACTGTGTGTGTACTCACCTATCTGTGGTTGCAGGGGTCGAGTCACAGCTCCTGTGTGTGTGATGCAGGAACTATGTTACTGAATAAAGATTAAGGGATAAATGGAAATACTTGAGAGATGAAAGATGGGGAGGTGAGAGGGGAAGGAGGCTTTTGAAGAGGAGGTGAAAGGGGAAGGGGTAGGGTAAAGAGGGGGATTTAGGGAGGGGGGGGGAGAGTCACTGAGAATGGATAGTGCAGAGTTGTTGTCAATAACTCTAAATTATTAAAGGGTCGAATGTTCTGGTCCCAGCTCACGTAGGATGATGGTGATGGTGACTGTACTGGTGGTGATTGTGGTGGTGACTGTACTGGTGGTGATTGTGATGGTGACTGTACTGGTGGTGATTGTGGTGGTGACTGTACTGGTGGTGATTGTGATGGTGACTGTACTGGTGGTGATTGTGGTGGTGACTGTACTGGTGGTGATTGTGATGGTGACTGTACTGGTGGTGATTGTGGTGGTGACTGTACTGGTGGTGATTGTGATGGTGACTGTACTGGTGGTGATTGTGATGGTGACTGTACTGGTGGTGATTGTGATGGTGACTGTACTGGTGGTGATTGTGGTGGTGACTGTACTGGTGGTGATTGTGATGGTGACTGTACTGGTGGTGATTGTGGTGGTGACTGTACTGGTGGTGATTGTGATGGTGACTGTACTGGTGGTGATTGTGGTGGTGACTGTACTGGTGGTGATTGTGATGGTGACTGTACTGGTGGTGATTGTGATGGTGACTGTACTGGTGGTGATTGTGATGGTGACTGTACTGGTGGTGATTGTGGTGGTGACTGTACTGGTGGTGATTGTGATGGTGACTGTACTGGTGGTGATTGTGATGGTGACTGTACTGGTGGTGATTGTGATGGTGACTGTACTGGTGGTGATTGTGGTGGTGACTGTACTGGTGGTGATTGTGATGGTGACTGTACTGGTGGTGATTGTGATGGTGACTGTACTGGTGGTGATTGTGATGGTGACTGTACTGGTGGTGATTGTGATGGTGACTGTACTGGTGGTGATTGTGATGGTGACTGTACTGGTGGTGATTGTGATGGTGACTGTACTGGTGGTGATTGTGGTGGTGACTGTACTGGTGGTGATTGTGATGGTGACTGTACTGGTGGTGATTGTGATGGTGACTGTACTGGTGGTGATTGTGATGGTGACTGTACTGGTGGTGATTGTGGTGGTGACTGTACTGGTGGTGATTGTGATGGTGACTGTACTGGTGGTGATTGTGATGGTGACTGTACTGGTGGTGATTGTGATGGTGACTGTACTGGTGGTGATTGTGATGGTGACTGTACTGGTGGTGATTGTGGTGGTGACTGTACTGGTGGTGATTGTGATGGTGACTGTACTGGTGGTGATTATGATGGTGACTGTACTGGTGGTGATTGTGATGGTGACTGTACTGGTGGTGATTGTGATGGTGACTGTACTGGTGGTGATTGTGATAGTGACTGTACTGGTGGTGATTGTGGTGGTGACTGTACTGGTGGTGATTGTGATAGTGACTGTACTGGTGGTGATTGTGATAGTGACTGTACTGGTGGTGATTGTGATGGTGACTGTACTGGTGGTGATTGTGGTAGTGATTATGGTTTTGACTATGGTGGTAATTGTGGTGATAATTGGGGTGATTGTGACTGTGGTGGTGGTGACGGTGGTGGCGGTGGTGGCGGTGGTGGCGGTGGTGGTGGTGGTGACTTTGGTGGTGGCGAAGAAGTGTTGGTAAACTGAAGTGTTTATATTTCAGTGTATACACCGGGAGATGTGTATTTCCAGAGTATGAAAAGAGAGAGATGGATATTTTTCAGTGTTTATAACCTGACATGTCCATTGAGGTCCGGGGTTCGATCCCCGAGACAGGTGGAAACATTAGGACGCGTTTCTTTAAGACACCTGCTGTCCTTGTTCACCTAGTAATAGTTAGGTACCTGGGTGAACATCAAAATGGTATACAATACCGACAGGTTGGTAGGTAGGACAGTTCCTGGCTATGGAACTGAACTTCTCCAGGCCGAGGGACTGACAACCTCAAATTCTACGACTTCAAGGGTGATGGACTGATTACATCGTCTTCACATCTCTACTGTTCCTGCCTACTTTCTGTATTCGACTGAAGAAGCCTACTGTGTAGGCGAAACGTTTCGGAATAAAATTGCCTAACTGTTGCCTATGTGTCTTACCTACCAGGTACCTGGGTGTTAGTGGACTGGTGTGGGTCGCATCCTGGGACAAAACTGACCTAATTTGCCCGAAATGCTAAGTATAACAAGTGGCTTTCTATATAGTAGTATGT